GAGCCAGGAATTCCACTTCTAGGGAGTTACCCTAAGAATGCAGCAGCCCAGTTTGAAAAAGACATATACACCCCTATGTTTATCGCAGCACTATTTACAATAGCCAAGAAATGGAAGCAACCTAAGTGTCCATCAGTAGATGAATGGATAAAGAAGATGTGGTACATATACACAGTGGAATATTATTCAGCCATAAGAAGAAAACAAATCCTACCATTTGCAACAACATGGATGGAGCTAGAGGGTATTATGCTCAGTGAAATAAGCCAGGAGGGGAAAGACAAGTACCAAATGATTTCACTCATATGTGGAGTATAAGAACAAAGAGAAAAGTGAAGAATCCAAACAGCAGCAGACTCACAGAACCCAAGAATGGACTAACAGTTACCAAAGGGAAGGGCACTGGAGAGGATGGGTGGGAAGGTAGGGATATGGGGGGGCAGAAGAAAGGGAGCATCATCATTAGCATGTATAATGTGGGGGGTGCCCAGGGAGGGCTGTGCACCACAGAGAAGACAAGTAGTCACTCTATAGCATTTTACTATGCTGATGGACAGTGACTGTAATGGGGTTTGTGGGGGGGACTTGGTGAAGGGGGGAGCCTAGTAAACATAATATTCCTCATGTAATTGTAGATTAATGATCCCCCCAAAAAATTGACTGAAGGGAACATTGAGGAAATTTAAAAGTAAATTATTGTCACTAAGCTGTGATGTATATTTGTATCTTGGAACAAATAGATTATACCCAGTATTTAATACATCTGGTATCTCTAAATGCAAGGTAATCATTGTCAAACAAAGGGAAGAAATGGCACATAAGCAGGTAGAGGCATCCCAGCTGAACACGAAATTAAAACTCAACTTTCAGAACCTGTCTTCTAGTGTTGTGCACTAACCAGGAGGCCATGTGGCAGCAGTAGGGAGATTGAGTTCATATGAATGCAGAGCGAGGCCTTCTGGAAAGGGCTTAGAAAAACAGATGGCATGAATGCACAGTGAGTCCGAGCCTGTGTTGGTAATGGGTGTTCTGGCATCTGAAGTCTATTTTGGTCATCTTTAACTGAATCTTTAGTTACAAAGCTTACTTTATAGCTTATACAATAAATAGATTAATGAGGAGAATAATAATGATAATAACTAACGTTTCTTGATTGCTTATTAATTCAACACTATTCTCTCTCTATTATATACATATATATAATCTTATTTAGCTCCTAATCTTGGGGAGGGGGTAGATAGATGCTATTACTTTAAAGGAAGGGCACTAGAGATAGACTGGGGCCAGCAGTGGGGACCAGCTGAGTGCAATTCTCACCAAGGTGCAATCTGGGGATCAGGCCTTTCCAGTCTTAGTTATTTGATCAGTTCTACTTACATTCGGCAGTTTGTAGAAGTGTCCCACCTTCACAATCAGGAGCAGCATTACACCCGCGCCTACCAGAGACGCAAACTGAGGAGACAGAGCCGGTTGGAGAGAGAGAGTCAGGAACGTATTCATTCCTGTCTGCCGCTGAAGCCTTCTGCTTGGTGAGAAGCATGTCATTTTTTTCTTAAAAGAAGTTGAGTGTAATCATCCAGCACACGTGCTTTTTTGTTGAACTGACATTTTCAGGTCTTGTCAAAGTGCTAAACACATACTAGATACTCGGTAAATACTTGTTGAATGAACGCATGAATACTTTCTGAAAAGTTTCAAATTGTCTTGAGTATTTGAGTCTTTATTGCCATATCTTTGTGCTATGAATCTGAAGTCTCCTAAAATCCGACTTGCACTCCTTCCTAACTTTAACCCTTGAACAGTTTAGAAAAGCCCCAGTAGAACTTGTCACTGTCAGCCTTAAAATCCCAACCATTCCACTTCCCATTACAATAACTATTTCATCCCTCACTCTTCTGTTTGGAGCTTGGATAACTTCCCATCTAACAGCTTCAGTACTGCTTCCTCTTAAAAATATAATGATAACCACTTCTGATTTTCCTACTTCAGTTTCTCTCTGCTTCATTACAATAAAAAAAATTACCAATGTGAGTCAGGGCTGTACCTAGCAGCTCGGGATCCAGTCCCAGCTGGGCTGACTACTCTGGGCTCAGTGTTTACTTGGTAAGAAGTGATTGGCAAATACACGTAGAAAGTTAAGAAACATACTTCACAATCCCTTTACAATCTCAAGGCTCTCTGGACATAGTCTTGAACTCATTATATCCTCTATTGATAAATTTCCACTGTTTAACCTCCTGACAATGAAACATACTATAAAGCAGTGTCATTTCCCCCTGTGATGGGGGATGGGGTGAGGAATGAAACTGTAACCACAAATGAAAACAATGGCATATACGAGCAAGAACTGAAGGAGTCCCTCACATCTAAACCGTTAAATGACCGCTCAGCACTGATTCCCTAAATTTCCTTTTTATTTCTTAGGTGTGGAAAGACAACAACAAATCTTCCTACCAGTTTTCCTCTCACAGCTCACTGCTATTTGCCGTATAAATGTACCACTGAAAATAATGGCAATGAAATCAAGAGCCTACTTCCTTCTGTCCCCTCCCAGCCGATGTGGGCAAGTTTTGAGCCCCACGAGAGTCGTGTAGGGAGAAGGATTCAAGAAGCTGCATCACTGTACCTGAAACTTGGGAAGTTCTACCGGCAAACATTTTATGTGCTGTGGAACTGAAATAGGTTAACAGAGGCTGTAAGCACCTCCAGCCACTGAACATACCAGTCTGTTGTTGGGTCTCATTTAAGGCTCCAGCCTCAGGGGGTCTTTGTTGGCACTACAGAAAAAAATTACTTTGCTTCACCCAGGAACATCTGTGAGGACTTTTCCCTTCGACCACTTCTTTGCTCCACAGTTCTGAGTATTTTTAAGGAAGCAAAGATGGGCAGATGACAAAATAAGCTGCATGAATCTTAGATTAAAATGAGTACAGATCAGACATTGAATCCCATAAAATTTCTGCTCAGAGAAAGGGGGGCCTGCCAATAATTGTGTGTCTCCCTTGGCTGCACACACAAATGAGTGGGCTTTGGGATCAGAGGATCATCCTCGGTGGTACTGTGCCTGAGAAAGATGCTTGATGGCTCTCAGAATCTTGGACTGAGTGCCTGACTAGGGTCTAAAGTCAGCAAGCAGGTAGAACTTGACATGTCATACATGTTTTTCTGCCCTGATTTTCCATTACTCTCGCAGCCTTTCTTGAGCAAAGACGGACTCTGCCTTCTCTCTGGACACTCAAGGCAATGTGAGTTCCCACAAGCCACAGCCACTATTTAGCTGCAGATCCTCAGACACCAGTTACTCCGGAAGTGTGGGTTCCATGAAGTAGGACAGTAGATTGCCAAGCACTGGCTGGGGCTCTAGAAACCTAGAGTAGAATTTGATTTTTGAGCATCTGAAGTGACAGGCACTATGAGATGGGTACTATTGTCATCTAATTTAATTCTCCCAACTGAAAAGTTATCCTTATCTCCAGTTTACAGATGAGGACTAGAGCTTCAGGAAGCAAAAGTAACTTGCCCAAGGTCACACATCTAGGAACCATTGAGTCAGGTTTCAATCCACCTGATGGACTGACTCCAACATCCAGGATCTCTCCACTGCTCCATCTGCTTCCTCTAGTAAGAACATAACACATTTCTTTCTTTTATAGTAACTCATTTTTTAAGCATTTCTGGGAGGCCAGGGACAACGCAATACGGCCCATTCTTGGGAATCAGAGAACAAGGAAAGGAACCCAATCATGGGGAACAGAGAAGCACATGGTCAGAACTGGATGAGCAGGAAGATAGAGTGGTGGACAGCCCAGCCGACCACAGGCCTGGGGCTCTCACATCCCCTCTGCCCCAGGCCTGCCAGCACTTCAAACTCAGGCCATGGCTGGAAGGATTGATAGTTTTGCCACAACCAGTGAAGGCTGAATGAGTCTCAGAGGCCTTTGCTGGTCCAGATCAGCAACTCAAGTGTGGAGGTTGGGTCACTCCAATGGATGAGGCCAGGGGCCAGCAGCATTCTCTGCTTGAACCAGCGATTTGCACTGGGAAAATGAGGGTCTCAGGTAAGAGCTGACCAGCATCCCTTTGAGGTGTGCATTTTGTTCAACAAGCTAAAAGCAACTCTGAGGTTGCCTGAAGTCTGTCTTCCTTCCCTCCATCTATACATATCCTAACCCTCTTTCAATAATCCATCAAAGTTCTGCTTCAACTTTTTCCTTCTTAAATATTTATTGCACTTATTCTGCACTTAATTTTGCTTGCACTATCATTTAGTTCTTTCCAACTGCATGTATCTCTTCTCCCCAAGTTTATGTTGTGCTTTTATACTGAATAAACAAAGCATGTTTTTAAAAGCTATGGAGAACTAATGTCTGGAAGTGCCATTTACACTATTTGTCTTACGAAATCCTCCAATTTTGACTGCAAGGTTTTCTCATACTTGCACTGAATAACCTTTTTAAACATAACCCAACTTCCTTTTGTCAAACAGTAGTGGAAAAGAGCTACACCTTAAAGGCCAGCGGTCTGGCAGAAGCTCTATGAGAACAAAACTCAGTTCACATAAAATGATACAACATTGTCTTATTCTAGATACATGCTCTGGCCCCTGCCTTATCTTCTGACTTTTATTAGATTTCACCTTATAGTCCATCTATATTTACCCATGGACTGTGACAATTCATCTTTACCCATTAAAATTTAGGGTCCAGTCCTCTGACACTTTAGCTTCTGACCATGGCTATACTTTCCTACAATGCTTCTGCACCCTAAGCTTGTCTTTGACTTCTGTCACTGTTTCTCTGCCTTCTGAACCCTGATCTATTCCCTAGGTGCACCCAGGGTCAGTTCTGATCATTCTTTGACATCTCATCATGCTTCATAGTTGAAATGGGTTACCTCTCATGGTGTGAAGTTATAACTTTTATCTAATGAGTTCAAAACTCATGAACATTGGACTTACCAAATTTCAGGCCTGCAGCTAGACAAAGAGTCTGCCTTATAGAACCTTCTCTAGCACCATCCCCCAACTCTCTCTCTCCCCTCCCACACACCATACCTATACTTTACTCATTTGGAAGAGCTGAACAGAGTCTGACCTAGATAATTTTCTCTTATATAGAGGAAGAACAGTTATAAATTCTCTAGGCTCACCTAGATAAAGACCTTACTCTCTATAATGAAAGCCTCTTGCCGTGCATGCCCTTTGAGGAAGTCAGGAAGGTTTCTAATTCTGCTACCAGGATGGAGAAAGTTGTATTATTGATTTCCCAGACTAAGACTGAGAATATATTTCCCCATAGAAAAACCATTAATAGGTGATGGTTAGTTTACCTGAAATAGTATCTTTTAGTTATGTTACATGGGGAATGGGGCTTTGTGAGGTAACATATAGAAAACTCTCACAGCGAATAACATTTCAGTAGAAAATGACTTTCAAGGGGAAAAATCTCTTTTAAGATAAAATCTAAGCAAAAATAAAGGCAAGCATGAAATACAAATTCTTCTAAGAGATTTCCCCAACAAGCATAACATTAAAACAGCAACATGATTGAACTGATATAACCCCTTCTATGACTATATGTATAGATAGATATAAATATCTCTTTATATTAGAGATCAAATTCTATTTCAACACACCTGTTGTCTTCCTCCAGATTTATCCTGGATAATAGTCCTGATAACAGCACCAGTAAACACACAAGATCTGAAAAATGAACTGACGACATTGCAAAAGCCGATGGCTATTAAATCCTATAAAGAAATGGTGAACACTTTAGGCCCACTATTTGTTGAAGAATGCTGATCTGAATTTGAATTAATGATATGCTGTCTATTTCCTGTTTATGAAGATAGGTTGTTTATTCCATTCCAAGTAACACTGAAATATTTTCAGAACACAAGGATGGCAAATCTGATTTCTAGATTAACTTGAATTTTCACTTAAGCTAGTGATCACAAGGAAAGCAATTTTTCAGTGAGAAATTGAGACTTTTGCTTATTATTCTCTTTCACATAATCACCAGGACAGAGAGGAAACAGTACAATTTTTCTCCCTTTCTTCTAAGCTATCCTGAAAGTCAATGTGGGGCACCTCTTGCTTTCATGTTTCCCTTTTGAGCCTTAGGGAAAAGGCCAAACTCAGAATAGTTGGAGACTTACAAAAAACCAAAAAAGTATTTCTTATTGTGCCTCAGTGTGTGGTTGACTTCTAAGGACTTGGTGGAAAGGACAGTAACATTAAGAGAACAGGAACTTCGCGAGCTCAACAACACGGTGCCATATGAAGTTATCTTCTTGCCTCCCTACACAGTTTCTGTTTAGGGGAGTAACACTTGGGTTAATTCATGTGGCCTCAAAGGTAAGTATGCTCCACTTCTCAAAAATCCTTTGGTAGTTATACTTCAAATGTGATCCAAATGGTTACAGGTTCATGTTAGTAGGAGGCTCAGATTAAAGAGCAAAGATTTAAGGGTTAGAGGAAATAACAGAAAGGCCTGTCCTCTTACCTGGTTGGAATTGACATGGTAGCTATGGAAACTGGCAATCTTCTTGCCCACAAATATGAGCAGAGAAGAACTCACTAAAGCTAAAGAGAAGGCTTCTAAAATAATTGTATGAAGAATGTTCAAATCTGGCAATACAGGAAACAGGAAGCTGGAATAAAATGGTGGAATTATTTCTGGAGAGCAGGAATCATTTATTGGCACCTTCCCCACTCCATCCTTATCATGTGGGGCAGGTCTGACCCTTTAAAAAAATAACAATAAGATGTAAGAGCAAGCAGCCTGCCAACACTGAACCAGTGAACCAAGCCAAGTTACAAAGCCATCAGGAGAACTTGCTCTATTTTCTAGCTCAAGGTCCCTCGCAGGTAGCAGTGGCAACAAACAGGCCAGTCAAAACCACAAGAATTGACAAAATATGATTTATTTGCTCTGTTTGAAACCATACTAATGGGTAAACAATAGGCAAAAATCATACCTAAGGTGATTTAGAGCTAAAAAGCTCAATGAGTTCCCTATTATTCACACTCAAATGTTTCAGGATATACTTTTAGTTATTGTCGTTTATAGAAATTATTTCTAATTGCATCCACACTTTCTCTCCTGTAGTTTTTTGTTTCCAATTTTTTTATTGTGGTGAAAGATGCCTAATATGAAGCTTACCATACTTTTATCCACTTTTAAGTGTACAGTTCAGTGGTATTATTTAGATTAATAATGTGTATCCATCACCACCATCCACTCCATAACTTTTCATCTTGTAAAATGGAAACTCTATGCATTAATCAATAACTCTGCATTTCCCCCACTCCCAGCCCTGACAACTATCAGTTTACTTTCTTTCTTGATGATTTTGAGTACTCTAAGTGACTTGTATAAGTGGAATCATATAGTATTTGCCTTTTCGTGACTGACTTATTTCAGTTAGCATAATTTTCTCAAGGTTCCTCCATATTGTAGTATGTCAGAATTTCCTTGCTTTTTAAGGCTGAATAATATTCTGTTGTATGTATAGACCACATTTTGCTTATCCATTCATTTACTGATGGACACTTAGCAGTTTCTTCCACATGTTAGCTATAGCAAATAATGTCGCTGTGAACATGGGTGCAAATATATCTCTTTGGGACCCTGCTTCCAATTTTGGGGGGATTTATATCGAGAAGTAGAACTGCTGAATCATATGGTAATTCTATTTTTAATTTCTTGTGGAACCACCATAATGCTTTCCACAGTGACTTTGCCATTTTACATTCCCACTAACAGTGCACAAGGATTACATTTTCTCCACATCGTCCCCAACACTTTATTTTCTGTCTTTTTAAAAAATATAGTAGCCATCTTAATGGGTGTAATGTGGTATTTCATTGTTTTGATTTGCATTTCCCAAATGATTAGAGCATTCTATCATATGTATATTGGCCATTTGTATATCTTCTTGGGTAAAATGTCTATTTGATTCCTTTCCCCATTCGAGTCAGGTTGTTTTTGTTGTTAGGTTTTAGGAATTCTCTAAATATTCTGGATATTAATTCCTTATCAGATATATGATTTGCAAATATTCTCTCCTATTCTGTGGATTGCCTTTTTACTCTGTTGATGGTGTCTTTTGATCCACAAAAATTTTTTAATTTTCACAAAGTCCAATTTGTCTATTTTTTCTTTTGTTGCCTGTGCCTTTGGTGTCATATTTAACAACTCATCACCACATCCAGTGAAGCTTTTGCTCTGTGTCTTCTCTTAAGAGTTTTATGGCTTTAGGTATTACATTTAGGTCTTTCATCCATTTTGAGTTAATTTTTACATATGGTTTTAGGTAAGAGTCCAGCTTCATTCTTTTGTATGTGGCTGTCCAGTTGCCTCATCACCATCTGTTGAAAAGATTGTCCTTTCCCCACTGAATGGTCTTGGCATCATGGTCTGACCATACAGGCAAGGGTTTATTTCTGGGCTCTCCATTCTGCTCCATTGGTCTACATGTCTATCTTTATGCCACACTGTTTTGATTACTGTAGCTTTGTAGGAAGTTTTGAAATTAGGGATTGTGAGTCTCCAACTTTGTTCTTATTTTTCAGGAATGCTTCAGCTATTCTACATTCCTTGATATTCAATATGAATTTTAGGATTGTTTTTTATTTTTGCAAAAGATATCATTGAGATTTTGATAGGGATTGAATTGAATCTGTAGACTGTTTTGGATAGTATTGACATCTGAATAATATTAATTCTTCCAATCCATTAACACAGCATTATATTTCCATTTATTTATGTCTTCTCTCATCAGTGCTTTGTAGTTTTCATTGTGCAAGTCTTTCACCTCTTTGGTTAATGCCTAAGTATTTTATTCTTTTTGGTGCTATTATAAATGGAATTGTTTTCATAATTTCATTTCAGATTGTTCACTGTTGGCGTATGAAAAGCTACAGGCTTTTATGCATTGACTTTGTATTGTGCTTCTTTGCTAAGTACATTTATTAGCTCAACAGTTTTTTTTTTTTTTGTGTGTGTGTGTGTGTGTGTGTGTATGGACTCTTTAGGATTTTCTATATATAAAATCATACAATCTGCAAACAGATAACTTTACTTTTTCCTTTCCAATTTGGATGACTTTCATTTCTTTTTCATGCCTAACTGTTCTGGTTAGAACTTCCAGTACTATACTGAACAGATGTGGAGAAAGTGAGCATCCTTGACTTGTTTGTGATCTTAGAGAAAACTTTCTGTCTTTCACCATTGAGTGTGATGTTTGCTGTGGATTTTTTCATATATGGCTTTTATTATTTTGAGGCAATTTTCTTCTATTCCGAGTTTGTTGAGTTTTTATCATGAAAATGTGTTGAATTTTGTGAAATGTTTTTTATGCATTGAGATGATCATGTTTTCTCTCCTTTCATTTTATTGGTAGCATATTGCATTGACCTGTTTTTATGTGTTCAAGCATTCTTGCATTCTAAGAATAAATCCCACTTGTTCATGGCATATAATCTTTTTGATAGGCTGCTGAATTTGGTTTGCTAGTTATTTTTGAGAATTTTTGCATCAATGTTCATCAATATTTGTAAGTTATCCTTTTTTTTTGTAGTGTGTTTGTCTGGCTTTGGTATCAGGGTAATTCTGGCCTTATAAAATGATTTGGGAAGTGTTTTCAGTTTTTTGGGGGAAAGTTTGGGAAGGATCAGTGTTAGTTCTTTAAATGCTTTGTATAATTCACCTTATAAAACCATCAGGTACAGGCATTTTCTTTGTCAGAAGATTTTTGATTAATGATATTAGTTACAGATATATTCAGGTTTTCTGTTTCTTCATTATTTAGTCTTGGTAAGTTTTCTGTTTCTAGAAATTCTTCCATTTCATCTAGGTTATAATACTGCTCTCTTATTAGCATTTTTATTTTTGTAGAATTGTTAGGAATACCCTCACTTTTTCCAATTTGATCCCCTTTTTGTCTTAGTCCACCTGTCTAAAGGTTTGTCAATTTTGTTAATCTTTTCAACAAACTAAGTTTTGATTTCATTGATTTTCTCTGCTATTTTTCTATTCTCTATTTCATTTATCTCTGCCCTAATCTGTATTTCCTTGCTTCTGCTAGCTTTTTGTTCAGTTTGTTCTTTTTCTAGTTCCTTAAACTGTAAAGTAGGTTGTTGATTTGAGATATTTCTTGTTTTTTAAAAGAAGTGCTTAGGGCTATAAATTTCCCCCTTAGCACTGCTTTTTCTGTGTCTCATTTTTTGGTATGTTTTTTTTCTTTCATTCATCTCTACATATTTTATAATTTCTCTTGTGATTTCTTTGATCCATTGGTTTAAGAGCATGTTAATTTCCAAAAATTTGTGAATTTTTATGTTTACTTCTGTTACTGATTTCTAACTTCATCTCACATGGTCAGAGAAGATACTTTGTGTGATATCTACTTCTTAAAATCAACTGGGACTTAATTTGTGGCCTAACATGGGGTCTTTTCTAGAAAATGTCTTACCTGTCCTTGAGCAAATGTATATGTTATATGTTGTTGTTGAGTAGAGTGTTCTGTATATCTATTATATCTAGTTGGTCTGTCATGTTGGTTATGTCCTCTATTTCCTTACTTATATTTTGCCTGGTTGTTCTGTCCATTAGTGAGAGTGGGGTATTAAAGTTGCCAATTATTATTATAGAACTGTCTATTTATCCAATTCTGTCAGTTTTATTTCATATAGTTTGATGGTCTGTGATTAGGTAAATGAATATTTATAACTGTCATGCCTTCTTTTGTATTTGACCTTTTATAACATATAATGCCCTTCTTTGTGTCTTGTAAAACTTAAAAGTCTATTTAAAACTTAAAACTTAAAGTCTATTTTAAAACTTACAGTCTATTTTGTCTGATACTGGTATACCCACTCCTGTTCCCTTTTGGTTTCTATTTGCATGGAATATCTTCTCTCATCCTTTCACTTTCAATCTATTTGTGTTTTGGGATCTAAAGTGTGTCTCTTGGAAACACCATGTAGTTGGTTCATGTATTTTTGTCTATTCTGTCAATCTCTGTCCTTTGAAGAGTTTAATCTGTGTATATTTAAAGTAATTACTGATAAGGAGGAACTTATTTCTGTTATTTTACTGTGTGTTTTCTATATGTCCTAAAGGTTTATTTGTCCTTCATTTCCTGTATCACTGTTTTCTTTTGTGTTTAGTTGATTTTTTAAAAATGAAATGTTTAAGTTCCTAATTTCTTTTTGTGTATATTCTACAGTTATTTTCTTTGGGGTTATCATAGGGATTACATTGACCATCTTAAAGTTATAACACTCTAATTTGAGTTTATGCCATCTTAATTTCAATAACATATAAAAACTTTGCTCCTTTACATCTCTATTCCCACTTCTTTTGGTTATTGATGTTACAGAATTACATCATTATACATTGTAAACCCCAAAACAAAGTAATCATTTAAAAAATACATTCCTCTCTTAAATTATGTAGAAAACAAAATGTGGAGTTACAAACAATGTTATATTGTTACAATGGAGGACTGGCACGTCTCCATTTCAAAATGTACTACAAAATTATAGTAATTAAGACTTGCATAAAGATAAACATACAGATCAATGGAATAGATTTGGAAGTTCAAAAATGAACCTAATCATTTATGTTCAATTGATTTTCAACCAGGGTACCAAGTTGATTCAATCAAGAAAAGCAGTTTCCTCAACATCATTAGCCATTAGGGAAATGAAATTCATGATAACCAAAAGTTGGAAATAAATGAAAGATCCATTAACTAATGAACAAATGAACAAAATGTGGTATAGATCCATATAATGGAATATTATTCAGCCATAAATAGGAATTATTCATGGTATAACATGGATAAATCTTGAAAACATAAGCTAAGTGAAAGAAGCCAGAGTCGAAAGACTATATTGTATGAGTCCATTTATATGAAATATCCAGAATAGGCAAATCCCTAGAGACTGAAAGTGGATTAGTAGTGGGCAAGGGCTGTGTAAAGGAGCTATTGGGAGTCTTAATGTGCACAGGACTTCTTTTTGAGGTGATAAAATATTTTAAAACTAGAAAGCAGTGATGGTTGCACACCTTTAAGTATATACTAAAATCCACTGAATTGTACACTTTAAAATGGTGGATTTTTATAGTATGTGATTTATGTATTAGTAAATCTGTTTTTAAAACAAGATAATAAAGAGAAAAATTATAAATAACTTTATGCCAATATATCTGACAACTTAGATCAAATGGAAAAAGTCCTTGAATCACCCAAACTAACAAAGTAGTCTCAAGAAGAAATAGACAACCTGAATCACAGGTAATTGTATAATTTAATAATAGTTTTAACTTAATAAATAGTCTATTAAAAAATTGAATTTGTAGTTTTCCCACAGTGAAAACTCCAAGCCTAAATATCATCACTGATGAATTCTAACAAATATTTACAAACAAAAAAATTCTAGTTCTCTAGAAACTCTTTCAGAAATTAAAGATGAGAGAATAGACATAGGTATTTGAGAAAAGAAAAATCTCAGACTAATATCCTTCATTAACATAAATGCAAAAATTCATAACATCATTTTAGCAAATCAATATATAATATGATAATACATCATGACCAACTGAGATTTTATCCCAGGATGCAATATTAGTTTAACATTCAAAGATTAATCATGATATTAACAGACAAAAAAAGGAGAAGAAATCTGCATGATTTTGGAGACAGTGTTGTTTTTCCACAGATTTATAGTTGAATAATCCCTTAAACTGAACTTGGAAGTGCAAATATACTTTAGTTCCATATCTCTAGGTCTACTTTGTAAGTTAAAAAAACACGAATGTTTTAGATATGGTTTGCTATTTGAAATGTTTTTTTCTTGTGATTATGCTTACCATTTCATCAGGATACAGATAACTCAACAACTAAAATACTTCAGAAATTTTGTGTCAAATCCAAATTCAGAAAAATGAACAATGTATTAAATACACTTTGGAAAATTATTTTAAAATAACTTGTGTGATGTATTTTTTATCCCTTATCTCATTAGATTTTCTTATTAGTTTATGAATTTTCAGTTTCATTTTCCTTAAAGTAGGAAGCATCACTTTTGGCATCTCTAAGTGCTATATCCTTCTATTTTCCCAGTTTCTCACCATTATTATGTGAATGAATCTAAATTTCTATTTTTGAATATGTTTTCCTTTACCATCCAACTTTGTCTATTTTAATTCCCTATTTAATATCATATTTATAACTTCCAAGCACCTTGGTGTTTTCCAAGGTAATAAGCTAGATAGGAATACAGCTGGATGTTCAAAGGTAGATAGTTTTCTTTTGTTAAATTTCCCCTTTTTGTCCTTTTAAGAAGTTAGGTAAGAATGTGGCTGTCTCAAACAGTATACAACAAATGAAATGTATTGCCCAAAACTATGTTAGTAAACCTTAAATATTTAGTATGATAACAACAGAACTACTGCTTTTCTTTCCTGTTGTTCTCTGTAACATTCGGTGCTTTGTTAGCAGTTTAGGTTAAAGGGAGATTTGGACATGGAAGGAATAAACTTAAGTTGTTCAATTTTCCCAGTCCCTAGCAACCTTGTATAAATACGTAATAAAAAGGAAGTTCAAAGCAATACCTAAAATCAGATTCTTGAGATGCTCACATGTCTATCTATACCCTTGAATCTTATGATAAAATATAAGCAAAAGTTTGCTGTGGTTTTGAAGTCATTAATAACAGAAGCATATTGAGTTAGGTATAATGGAGTGGTTATAATCACAGATTTTAGAATTAAATAGAAATGGGTTCAAAGAGTAGCTCTGCCAGTGATCAGCTCTGTGATATTGGATAAGTAATTTAAACTTGGTAAACCCTAATTTCATCATCCATAAAAAGAAAATAATGTCTACCTGTGGGGAACAAATGAAACGAGGTAATTATGTAAAGCATCAATCTCACTGTTATTCTTGCTATTTTTTTCTGAGGGCAGAGACCAAGTCTTATTTACTGTTTCCTAGTACAAAGGTAGTGTGCTAGGGTTTTATTTAATCCAACATAATTTCAAATGGATTTAACCATCTTCAGATTTTACTAAGACTGGTAGGATATGAGACTGATTCAATCTGGCTGCATCAAAGTAGGCTATGTTTTGTTATTTGCGGGTTAACCAGTATCACTGACCAGTATACCCTATTGAACAACAGCATCAGGAAATGAACAAGCTCTTCAAAAGCCTGCCTGTGAGTCAAGAAACTGTAGAATATTGCCTTTCTTAGCTAAAGTGATTCATCTCATCAAGGTTAAAGAAATTAATTATAATTTCCTAACAGAAACAAGACTGATGCCCCTTAGTCACTGGTAGGAATTATAATGTAAATTAATCACGAATTCTTAAGAACTCCATGTATCAGTCAATGAAGATAGGTTTCTACTCAGAGTAATGAAATAATGTTGCTCAGGGACACTGATTCAGTCTAAGTGGGTGAAGGCAGAAGGAACACTCATTTCCTGAGCAGTGAGCCTCTGGAGAAAGGTTAGGAAAACAGAGGCAACTCTGTCCCATCCTTGAGAATTAATCAGATAGGTAGGGAGGTTGAGAAAGCCCCTAATATACTATGAAAAAATGCATGAATCTCTCTGGTGTTCAGTGCATCCCACAGTTTACTTGGGCAAGGGGACTGGCTCAATTTAGGGGAAAGAGTCAGAGGCCGACCAGAGAAGAAGCAAGGGGTTGCCTTAGCCCTTCTTTGTCCTGACCTTCTGTGTTCTAAAATGAATTTGAGTCCATGACCCAAATTTGGCTGTGGCCAGACACTGCCAGTAGAGAATGTCAATCAGGCTGTGTGGATAGAGGCTAAGAGAATGCAACAGAAAGGGAAGAGTAGTCTTAAGTGGAGTTACTGACCTATAAGGGATCATATCAATGAGCGTCCTGCTGTTTTCTGTGGCTATGTTTATCTTGTTTGCAAATGCAGTGAAGCCAAGAATCTGTAGGGGTTAAACAAAAAAAGTCATACGATCATTAAATATTATGTATTGTTTCCAGGAGCAGAGGTGCTCACAAGCTCTGGCAAGACAGGGAAAGAAACACGTGACAGTCCCTCTGCATGAAAGTGGGGAGAGAGGCAGGGACAGCTGAGTGGGGCAAGAAAGGCAGAAGTCCTCCTTCCCTGACTCTTTTTGGTTCTTTAAGGTCTTTTTAGCATTGTAGCAGGATGAAAGCAACTTCTGCCTTGGTCTCTGATATAATAGGAACTAATGGATGCCCTAGATTTCTCTTTCCTTACCAACTTTTAACATCTAGACCAAATATAAACATGTTTTCAGGTAATAGCTCCATAGAGGCCTCAGTTTTAAAAGTTTTTACATCTAGGTAGACGGTACTAATATAAATAAACCTTTTTGGGGATGGTTGAGGTATAACGACAATCATAGTACTGACTCACCCTTAATAATATGGAGCAGCATTTGATAGCTAACAACAAAAAACGTCTTTACCAAAGCAATTACTTGCTTTTTTTTTCTTTCCCCTTTCACTTGCTTCTAAAATGGCAAGTCTCCCTTCCATTTCAACCAGAGGGAAAATAGATAACCTAGCAGCTGTTACACCTTAGAAAGACCTCAAACCAAAGCAAATTCAACCAGAGATGAAAGAACTTAATGCTCTTTACCCTACCCCCCTGCCCACACAGGAGTCTTTTCTCAGCATGTGCTCTGAGAATTCAGTCAGACTCTGTGCAGGCTGGCAGTCGGTTTACCTATGGTGCTGCCAGGTGAAGGCCTACAGATCAGAATGGAAGGAAGAATCTGGATCACAGCTTGATCTTTGTATAGTTAAGGGACAAGAAGTGTGGCAAGTGGCCAAGTAACTTTTTTTTTCCAGTATACAGGTCATACTTGCTCATAAAGGAGCATAGAGGAAATAATAAAAATTAAAAAGCAGAAATAAATCACCCAAAGATAATTACTCTTGACATTTTTCTGGTGTTTGCTATATAGCTTAAATATATGAATACATATACATATTTAATTAGGAACATGTAGCATGTATAATTTCTTATTGTTATGGGGCTCTTGGATTATTTCAAGAATCAGTATATTCTACCTACACCCTAGAAATGCCCTTGACATTTTCCCTTAATATTTGAGATGACCGAATCTAGTAACCACAAGGTTGCTCACATTATTGTACATTAATGATACCAAAATTTAAGACAGATATTAAAAAAATATTTGAGATGACTATCTTAAGGACAGATTGGTGGGTGTGTGCAGTTTCCTGCAGCATATTTAAACAGTAGTTTCTTGGTGGGTGTTGTGAGAAGCTTTTTATACCCTAGACCATAGCTTCTCACCCTCCTTCTCCCATTTTGCCAGGGGAAACATGGAGGTCTTTTTCCAGTTCTAAGCTACATCTCTAATCCCTGCTATGTGGTACAAAGTGGCAAGCACTTAAGGTGACATGTGTATAAGAAAAGTGTTGAGGGTTTCAATAACCTTTGAGCATATATTAGGTCACACAAAAAGTTTAATGCCTGAACTGCAAGAATTCTAACTCTCCATCTACACCTACTTTTATTGCTAGACATCAGTTTCCTCCCCCACTGCACTCATGGTGCATCGTAATTATTTTATAGCATTCCCCAAAGGAATCTTAACTGTGGCTCACAAACCAATTTGTCAGCCAAAGTCAATCCACAGCATCCTCTATAGTCCCCTCCTTTCCTAGTAGCTCCAGTTCATGTTCCTGACCTTTGAGGTTTTTTGAAGGGACATCACTATGATCCCTGCCCCCGATGCCTCTTAAGAGGGATGATTTGTGACAACATGGTTGGACCCTGAGAGCATTATGCTCAGCGAAATTAGCTACATAGAGGAAGAAAAACACTGCATGTATCACTTATATGTGGAATCTGAAACAAAGCAAAACAAAACAAAAAACAGTCACATTTAAAGAAACAGAGTTGAAAAGTGGTCGTCCAGGGCTCAGGGGAGGGAGGAAGAGGAGAGGTTGGTACGAGGTACAAACTTTCAGCTATAAGATGAATAAGTCTGAGAAGCTAATGTAAAACATGGTGACTGTAGTTGGTAAATTGTATTGTATAGTTGAAATTTGCTTAGAGAGTAGAACTTAAATGTTCTCATTCCCTCCACCCCCCCAAAAAGTGAGGTGATCGATGTTTTCTTTTAATTAACTAGGTGGGGGAATCCTTTCACAATGCGTGTGTATGCCGAAGGACCATGGTGTACACTTTGAATATTTTACACATTTCTATGTTAATTATACCCAGTGAAGCTGAAATTGGGGAGAGAGAGCGCGGGCGCTCGAGAGCATGCGCTGGGCGAGCTGATGTCTGTGGCACAGATGCCATCTGCTGGTGATTCCAAGCCTCAGCTTCCTGACGTGCCAGAGCTAGGCTGGCTGGGGTCCATGAGAAGTTGCTCCAGACTCCACTCTGAACCCCAAATGCAGGTTGTGCCCTGGGCTTTAGGGCACTATCATTTGTGCACAGTGTTTTATAAAAAGTCTTTTATAAAAGCAGCCTTTCAGCTTTTGGCCTTTATGAATTAAGAGCTTTTCAACTACTTCAAGGAAGAAAGAATTTACACCTCTTAAAGAACTAGAAAACTCTTGTGAGACAGAGCTTGATCTCAATTTCCAAAGCTGTTCCCATACTCTGTCAGTCATGAACAGCATAGACCTGGATTAGTTAGTCTAGGATAGGGTATACTGGGGCAACATACAAACCATGAGATCTTACCATCTTAAAACCTAGGAGTTATTTTTTTGCCTATACAAAGTCTACTGTGGGTCAGTGTTTCTCCATGTCAGCTTTTTTTGCGAACACTGCCTCAGGGAGCCAGGCTAATTCC